CACATGTGAGTAGAGTTTGTTAGGTCTCTCCCTTGATTTGAGGGTTTTTCTCCTGGGTCTAAATTGGGTTTGATTCCTAGACTCAGCATCACATGTGAGTAGAGTTTGTTAGGTCTCTCCTTTGATTCAAGAATTTTCTCCAGGTTCTTCCTCTGTAGGTTATTCCTCTGCATAGCCTAAAACACTTAATTCCATCTGTGGGAAACCTTAGACATGCCCAGAGATGGATCAGTCCAAAGGTTGTTTCAGGGTTTGAAAATCTTTGAAAGTTTTTCAATTTCTAGTCTTTCGTTGTTATTTAAATCACCTTTAAGAATGAATCTTCATCTGTAATATCATAAACTAGAATAGCTCCATTACTGCAGGAAAAATGATATGAATAAAACAGTAAATGATAAAATATTATGTTGTATCAACTGTCAGGAGCCATTTTGGAATTTTTCCATTTTTCTATTTTTCATTGAAACAATAATCAAAGAAATATAATAATATTTATCCTTTTCGGCGCTAGCTGTCACAGGGTATAAATTGTCTTAGATTGTGTTACGGTCACCAAAAAGCTCGGACATTGTTTACGAATTTCAGTACAAATATACTGACTCTGAATGAACTATTTACTTGGTTAATGTTTAGTTAGTTCTCTAAATACAAGTAAATGATCCTTTTTCTAGCTTGATTGAAGTTATTCTTACTGCTGTTAAGATAGCTAACTAAAAAAATCTACCTAAATTTTCTTCTTAAAGTTGGTGAATTTGTATGGAAATCAGAGAACAATGTCCGAACTTTTTGGTGACCGTACTATAATCCAAGCTAGCACCGAAAAGGTGAATTTATTGTTATTGTAATTTAAAAGTACTGTAAGGCCGCCCCTGTAGCTAACTCTCACTGCCTGCAGTCTGTTATATGTGCATAAGTAATATAATATTGATCATTACCTGTCTCTGTAGTAGATAGGTCCTAGAGCATGAAATCTCTCTTGACCAGCTGTGTCCTGTCAGAAAAGGAAATTTTTTTTCAATAATAGAACATCTGTAAATATATAGCTAACTATATAGGTTAGATCAGTACCAAGAACAATACTAACATTTCAATTTTGCCTTTGCCCAGTCTTAGCCTCAATTGTGTACATATGTGTTCTTTTCTTTTATCAAGGTCCATTATACAGTAAGGAATGTACGTACTACAGAAAAATATATGAGTTGATTAAAATGCCACAGGTTTTGGCTGAATAGCTGAATATCATAACGCACAACCGAGACTAAGACTGAGCAAAGATAATTCAAAACTAGAGTATTAGCAACTGCAGTCACAAGCATTGCCATCTACACTATCAAAAACAACAGCAATATGTGTAGCATCATCGACAGAGCTCTGCAGCAGCAACAATGTTCAACAAACCAGGATATTATCCAGAATATGCAGCTCTTCATACACATTGAATTTCATTCTCCATCATCATATATATAGAAACGTCATTTTATTGTTAGTATACATTGTATACACTTTGAATATACTTCAGAAACAACAGTAGTAGCAACACCAACATGCAACTGCGTAGGGGCAGCAACAATATTGAAATGCAGATCACTTTCAGTCTGTACTTAGAAATGTACCTTTTATTGCGACACTTTGTTTCAATTAACAACAGTTATTTTCCACTTACCCAAATTGCTAAATTTACTCTCTGTCCTCCAATATTCAGTCTTTTGTTCAAAAATGAAGCCTAAAAAGGTAAAAAAAATGTGTCAGTATTATCTTGGGAGGTATATAATGTTCTTTCGGCCAGGTATAAATAACAAAAACTATATAGCTGTAGCTAAGTATCAAAAACTATAGCTGTAGCTGTAGCTAAATATCAAAAACTATAGCTGTAGCTGTCGAGCTGAAATGTTTCTTGTACAATTTAATTTCCCTTTCCCTTATTATATGTATTTATACCACTAATACCAGAATCTTTTGCAAATTATTTTACTTATATAAAATTCTTAATTCTGGGAATTCCAAATTAATTGTGTTAATTAGGCTAAAAATATGAGCCATGAAAAGGATTCTCGTAGTAATAGTATCAATTGCAATTAGGTATATTTCAAACTAAAAATGATAGATTAGCCACTCGGCTGATGTGTCAATCATCATGATGACAGCCATTGAAAAATCCCAACCRTACAACAAAATCAGCCAATTCGACTTCCTTCAAAACATTTTTTGAAGGTTCTCATCCTCCAGATTGATCTAAGGGAGGGGGGTGGTTAGACCTGGTTTATACTTTCTCAAATTATATATATGATGTCTAAATTATGAGAAAAAGACAATATGTCCTCTATGACAGGTTGGGTCCTATAACTTGGAAAATCACTAACAAGATAATGCTTTTTTAAACGATGTCATACAAGTGGAAACCATTATAGAAACTAGTGCAGTCCTCAATAAGTTTCATATCAAACCAATCATGTATGAAAATCACTAGTTTTTATCTATAATTCTTAAATACTGGAGTGTCTAACTTGTATACGAATTAAGAAAATGATTTTGTTACAATATTTAGAATAATCAAAGATTTGACCTCGTTAAACGAAGGAGATAGCAGTACGCTTCAAGAGTAAGGAAGTATATTATCTAATAAATATTGAAAATGTTAGAAAGAAAATAGCAGTTTCAGACAAGCCAGCCTCTTTTACTATACCTCTTTGTCTTTCCACGGGAAAGACAAATGCAAAGCTTGTAGTAAAGATGATAAACATAAAGGAACAATGTGGATAAAGAGGTATAGATAGTTACCTGTAATGTTGTCAGATGTTTGTCGTTGAACTTGTCCTGGACATATCGTAGCATTAACGATGTTTTTCCCACACATCCTTCACCCAACAACACAACTTTAAATTGATTTTTACGGCTTGCTGCGGCCATAATGAACAGAATATATCAACCAAGCACCAGTCTGTACCACAAAGCAACGAAGAACTTCAAGTGATGAGTGGCAAAGTAGAAATGATTAAGTACAGACGGAGTTTTCAGACGCCATTTTTTGTACTGATTACAACACAGAAGTAATAGAACCCTCGTGATATATTGACGTCACTCGATAGATTTCGAGGAAACAAACTTCGGAAATACTCCGGAAAGACTTCGTAATTCTATCGGCAAGGCAGAATTATTTGATTTTTTCCTTTAAAATATTATTTCCCAAAAATTAAGAGTGAAAATTTCTAACTTTCATTCAGATAAATGTAATATCTTTTATTTTTAAAAAAATGAGTTTTACAGAATGTTTGAATTTCATTGTTGAACTTTATTCAAGAAATTTAAATTAAAGAAAGGTATCGTAATAAATAAAAAATAAAAATATGTGTTTTAGATATCGCAAAGAATTACGATCCTCGTTTCATTATGACGGTTTATTGATAAATTTAAAAAAAAGCAAATGAGCTGATACGGAAAAGAAATTAAAAAAGGACCGCGATTCTTGCACACAGCAGTTATCACTACCGTTCATGCGTATTACCATTCCGCCATATTGAATTTTTCTGCACGTGTTGAAACTTCATCTTTAACTAAAAAAAGTACAAAAATGGTGAGTTTTATTCCATTTAATCTCCTATTTCCAACCTCAATGAATAAAATGATCTTTTTTCTTTCCTTCGTTAGGTTTCTCTCAATCCTGTACAGATTCTGAATCCCATGGCCGAGGAAGAAAGAGGGGAGACCGCTCGCCTTGTGAGTTTGACATTTGCCGGCTGCAAATAAATTTGTACATAAAGTGTGGGGGGAAAATCATATTACCTTTCTAACCTTATTTAATAATTCCTCATATCTTTCTAGCTTAGTTTAAACCATTAAGGATTAGTTCTTAGACGGTAATAAGGCTTGAAAAGGGAAGTTGTCTTTTGTTGAGTCCAGGTTGCTACCCACCCAAAATACCCACCCATAAACGGGAATGGTCTGTTAGTGAGATTATACTCGCCGAGACAATGAAACTAATACTGTGCGCTACTTATTGGGCAAATTTCTAAAAGATTCGTTTCTCTACCACCCCTGTCCTATATGTTCTAGGGCAATTATATATGTATTGAGGTGACAGCACAGAGGCTGATGGGAGGAGGGGTCGTTATTATCTCTAGTCTCTGTATCTGTTTTAGATCATGCTGCTTTTTTATTCTTTTTTATTTTGTTTATTTGATTCTTAGTATCTTATATTCTTAGTTTTTTTGTAACCTTGTATATCATGTTGCCTGTCTTCAGTCTTCTTTCGTTGGTGCCATAGCCATTGGTGATCTTATCAAGAGTACATTAGGACCTAAAGGAATGGTAGGTGTTTGGATTGGGCTACCCCCCCTCCCCCGCAACTCCTGAAGAATTCCATCTTAAAAATTCCCCCGACCCCTGAAGAACGTACGTACTCCAAGGTCTTCAATGGGGAAAGGGGGGGGGACGAAAAGTTAATGTAATGACCCATTACACATTAAAAGGATCTATAGGTTGTGATTCAAATTACAGATATCAGAGGGGGTGTTCAATCTAGCATCGCATGGCTTAAATATGAATTTCTGGCTCTGGACACTGGACAATCACTCCCTTCAAATTAAGTTAAAATTTTAAAATAAGTTATATTTGGGTTTAAATTTATCATTATCATAATCTTTATTTTCAGGATAAAATTCTACAGTCGTTTGGTCAAAACAAAGATATTCAAGTTACAAATGATGGTGCAACAATATTAAAATCTATTGGTATTGATAACCCAGCAGCGAAAATATTAGTTGGTAAGAGAAAGAATTACTTGGTTGAGGGGGTTGGGATGTTCTTTTTAAATAATTTCCAATACCCTTTGAAAAATCTTTGGGTTGGTTTAAGTCAGGGCATGACTAACTCACAGATTGAAATCTGAAACAACTTTAACAAACTCGAGTGTTCCTGGTTAGAGTAGAATGACAGTAATTGCTGAAGTTCCAAACAAGGCACTCCTTCCTTGCCTAGTCTATGTTGGTCTACCTGTATCGATAGCATGTTATAGATATTTACTTAAAATAATGGTTGGTTTATGTTGCAGAATTGTCCAAAGTACAAGATGATGAAGTAGGTGATGGCACCACAAGTGTGACAGTCCTTGCAACAGAACTTCTAAAGGTAAAAAAAGTCCCTGTTTTTATGAGGCTAGCACTTAATAGCCAGTGCCTAACAAACCTGTTACCCTCATTCCATGGTGGAATTAGATTTAGTTGATTTTTGTGGAGGGAGGAACCAGAGAACCTAAAGAAAAACCTTCAAAGCACAGAAGTCTAGAACCAACAAGCAACTCTACTCACATACAACACTGAGCCCGGTGGGACTCGAACCTGGGTTGCATTGATGAGAGGTGAGCACTCTCAACACTATATACATCACCTGTGCTTCCCTAGGTACAATGAAATAGCTAATCGGTTGTTTTCCAACTATTTATCTAATTACAATAAACACTTAGCTACACTGTAGGTACAGCAAACAATCCATGCAGCAATGGCTGTAGGCATGATGACCAGCCACATTGGATTAACCAACATGTGACCAGTCAATGAGGCAGGTCAAGAGAACAGGCTTGAGGCATTTGGCCAGACTAGTGCTTGGTCAGGCGGTGTCCATTGACTGGCCGTTATTTTTAGCCCTGAAATTCTGTCTTTAAAAAGTAATGTTTTGTATAGGAAGCAGAGAAGCTAGTATCCCAGAAAATCCATCCACAAACAATAATAGCTGGTTGGCGGAAGGCTGTCAAGGTTGCGGAACAAGCACTAGAAGCTGCAGCTACTGATAACAGTGGTAACAAAGAGAAGTTTGAAGAAGATTTAATGAATATAGCAAGAACAACTCTAAGCTCAAAGATTCTTGACCAACATAGAGACCACTTTGGCAAGCTGGCTGTGGAGGCTGTGTTGAGGCTTAAAAGCAGTGGAGATCTGAATGCTATTCAGATTATCAAGAAACTTGGTGGAGGAATGGTAGATTCATTCTTAGATGAAGGTCAGTTATCTTTTGGCTTACCTGTGGAATATATGATAATAGCTAATTGATGGGCTACCTGTAGTAGAATGTGATATTATGATTGACATTGGCTTATCTTTGGTTGATAATAATGAAACTTGTTTTGGGCATAAAGGATGATGATGATGAATGAATGACACATGGTTGGGCTAACTGGTGTGCTTTTGTTGTTTTGGTATTTGATGCTTGGTGGGCTTCCTGTGGTAGAGTGTGGCAACATTAAATAACATGACTGTTATATGATGACTGTTGATAGTGTGCTTTGTCTATTCTGGTATTCCAGCTAAGCTAAAATATGTTCTAAAATCTCTAAACTTTGGCTGTTATATCACAGTGTGGGACAGCCACAAACAGAACCCTAACCCTCCATACTAAATGAACATCCATATATCAAATTGGAATTTAGAAGCTTGATTTTTAAGTAGGGAGAAAAACTGGATAATCCAGAGAAAAACCCTTTGAAGCACAGGAGACAACCAACAAGTAACCAACCAACAACTACGTACTTCTGGCATTGAGCTGGGAATCAAATCCAGAAATCATGAGTTTCATTGATTATATTTCACTACCTAAAAATTGTATGCACCAAAAATGGATTATGCCAGAGCAATTGTTCTTTGCCACAGGCCAGAAGAAAGGCAGGCTCTGGGTACGAGATTGTAGCAGCACATACCACCCAAGCTCAACAATGTCATTTAATATATATTATTATGTGTCTATATATTTTAGGGTTTCTTCTGGACAAGAAAATTGGTGTAAACCAACCCAAGACTATAGAGAATGCTAGAATACTGATAGGTAACACTAGTATGGATGCTGATAAAATCAAGGTACATTTTTCTATAACAACAATTAATGCCCTTAAGATGGACAAGTTAAAGATTTGATTTGTGTTTCTTCAAGCATACTTTTCTCATAAAAATATTCCAAGTTCCAGGTGGGGATGGACAAGTTGTCAAAATAAAAATATGTACATACGTATAATTGGATGTTACTCAACATATGCAGGTTTTTACAGCTTACAAATAAATAATTAATTAATACATCATTGCCTATTTTGTAGGTATTTGGTTCTCGTGTTAGAGTTGATTCTACAGCTAAGATTGCAGAATTAGAACTTGCTGAAAAGGTAAGAAAAACACAACCCAAAACTATATGTCCAAGCTCATATTTTTCTTTATGCTTAGTTTACACTCGCAACAATGATCTTATAGTTTACCAGTGCATGTAATTCAATAGCCAACTTTTATTATTCCAGTTTGATTGGTCAAGCACAAAACAATCTGAGTTGAGGGTCCAGAAAAACTATGATGTAATCATAATTCTTTTCTTTCGCAGAAATTCAGCTTAACTTTGTGCTTGATCAATCAACCAGAGCATCGAAAGTTGGCTGTTTTATAGTCCTATGACTTCGGTATTGTGTTCTTAATTTGATTATTATTAATTCTTCTGCAGGAAAAAATGAAAGAAAAAGTAGAAATGATCCTCAAGCATGATATTAATTGTTTTATAAACAGGTTAGTGACTGCCTTTGTATGATCATTTTATTCTCTTCAAAAGGAATTGCTTTTTTACTCTGATGAAGGACTAGCGTCTGAAACATCAGTAAGTTTTTTCATCTTTTCACGGTGTATAATTTACCTTTTTATCACTACTGTTTCATTAGAAACGCTGACGCAGCTCACACTAGTTTTTAGCTAGTTATTTCTTCTCTTCAAAAGGAGAAAGAATGTTTCCCCAACGTGTAATTCTCTATTTTCTTGTAATCTGGATTTTAGATTTTTTTCTTCATATATAATTTTAAATCTTGTTGGGGAGGGGGGGGGGGGGGGGGTTTGCCTTGCATGAGTACTCGGGTCCCGCCCTCCTTTTAAGTTGCTACTTTGATTATTTTCCTAATTTTATGTTATGCTATGTTATTTTATGCTATTTGCTTATGTCCTTGTATTTTTCATTTTGTTATGTTGTTTTTCCATTGTGTAAATTAATAGTATTCCCAACAAAGTTTAAAATATATATTATATTATTGGGTTTTAGGCAGCTAATCTATAATTACCCAGAACAACTGTTTGCTGATTCTGGTGTAATGGCCATAGAACATGCTGACTTTGAAGGCGTTGAACGACTAGCGCTTGTACTAGGTAAGGTAGTAGTTGTCTCGGAAAACTTGATTCAAGCACCTGCTTAAGCATCTTGCTAACTTTTCCTTCTCTTTCTTTCCTTTCCATTTTCCCCTTTCCTTCCTTTCTCTTATGTCTGCGATTGTGCCACATAATTTCTTGACTTTCTCCATATGCACCAAATTAAAAAAATATTGTCAAGTTGAAAAGGTTTAACTATCGGAGCTAAGTTAGAGGGGTTTTTCTGGGTATTCAATTACCTTGGCATTCATAGAATTTTTGCAAACATKCATACCTACATTGTTTTTTCAATTTGGTGTATAAATTATGAGTGCATACTAGCACTAAAAATAGCCTAATACTCTGGTTTGTACATTGTATAATAGTGTAGTGATTTGGTTTTGCAGGTGCTGAGATTGTATCCACCTTTGGACGTCCAGATCTTGTCAAAATTGGCACTTGTAAACAGATTAATGAAATCATGATTGGCGAAGATAAAGTGAGTACTTTTTACTGGTATGCAGGGATGATAGAAAGCATGGGTGGTGTACACTATACAGTCAACTCTGGTTACAGCGGACACCAACAGGACCGTCACTTAGTGTCCGTAATAGCGAGCGTCCGCAATAGGGAGAGTTAATTTTGGTCATTTCTTTGTCATTATTTTTGGCTGGGGATTTTTCTCCTGTCCGCAATAGCAAGGTGTCCGTAATATCGGAGTGTCCGCAAGGCGAGAGTTGACTGTAGTCCCCAAAGGAAATTCGCCATCTCTGGCCTTGTTTCTTACATTGTGATTTATTTGCAGTTGATTCACTTTTCTGGTTGTGCTTTGAACGAAGCTTGCACCATTATCATTAGAGGAGCTACTCAACAAATCCTTGATGAAGCAGAGCGTTCTCTTCATGATGCCCTGTGTGTCTTGACACAGACAGTTAAAGAACCAAGGACAGTGTTTGGAGGAGGTAAGATGATGGCAGATGATGAAGATGATAATGATAATGGTGGTGATGACATTGCTTGTAGATGTGCTGGCAAAACYGTGCTGGCATTCACTAAGCACAACCTTATTCTCCAAAGGGTGATGTACCCCAATGGGAAGGTTAGCAATGATCTTGAGTTTGATGATCTTGAGTTTGATGTCACCAATGATAATGATGATGGTGGTGGTGGAATAGTAGTTATTATAATAAGGGCACTTGAACCATAAACACTTCAAGTTTTTTGTCACTTTTTACCTTAAAATGCATACTATAAATTATCCCTTGAGCTAACAGGATAGAAATTAGATTTATTTTGATCTATCGGTGTATTTGAACGCCATCCTTCATTTTAGAAGTTTTGAATCAGTAAATAGTTCAGRAATTGTTGCCCCATCCTTAACTGCTGATCATAATGATGATGATTAATTTGTATGACATATGACGCCATTGCCTCAATTGGGAGACATTTTATCTTCATTTGGCAGACAAAGACTTACAGTATTGTCTTTGTTTCATATTCTTAGGAGCATCTGAAATGCTGATGGCCAATGCAGTGTCAAAGCTAGCAGCAATTACTCCTGGTAAAGAGGCTGCTGCTATGGAAAGCTTTGCCTCTGCTTTAAGACAGGTTAGTCACTAAAATTAAAGTTTAAACGACCATTTCTTGAATGCGCAATGAACACATTCAGTAGTTATTTTATCAACTTTATAATTTGCTTATTTTCATTCAATGTCATAGCCAACACCAGTGAAAAATGTCTGCGCATGCTCTGAATCCGTATGCGAATTAGTCAAAACATAAGTAAATTTGGCTTTCAAACATGCCTGATTAATTGGACTTCACAAAATGCCAAAACTTAGTGTCCATGCTTGAAACTTAAGGCTAATTCTTTCATMTTGCATTTGTTAATACAGTATCTTGGTCTGACGAAAAAATACACTCAAAATTTTTTGTACACTTGGAGAGAACAAACATTTATTTTCTCCCTCAAACTYTTCTATATCCTTAGAAAACGTGCTGAAGTGCATGCATGCATAAACGTTTTTCTCTGGTGTTGTTATAGCCATCATGATGGTTGAATTGATTTTAAACAAAAATAGGGGTTTCTTTCATTCCTTTATTGCATGAGTTTTTTGTTATTTACCTAATATTTGGTTGTCTCTTTAATGTTTTAATTTTTGTTTGCATTATAGCTGCCAACAATTATAGCTGATAATGCGGGTTATGATAGTGCTGACTTGGTGGCTAAACTACGAGCTTCTCACACCCAGGGACACACAACAGCTGGTTTAGGTAACAGTCAATGAAAACACCCTGTAATTAAAAGAAATGCTGGTTTCATTTTAAATTTTATGGTTCTATTATTTGATGCGGCATTGTTAACTATTCTTTGAATTTCCAGATATGATTAATGGCACAGTTGCTGACATGGCAACCTTAGGTATCACTGAATCATTCCAAGTCAAGCGTCAGGTATTGCTATCAGCTGCTGAGGGTGCCGAGGTGATCTTAAGGGTAGACAACATTGTCAAATCAGCACCAAGGTAATATACAATATTATACTGTTCTAGAGTAATTTCAGGGCTTGAGATAATAACTCAAATATCAGTATAGGCTGGTCAAAAAAATAGAAAAGAAAAGAGAAGAGAAAAGAGAAGAGAGGAGAGGAGAGGAGAGAAAGTAAAAAAGAAAAAGAAGAAAGTACCTGTTTGGCTTGTGGCTGTGCTATCCATACTATGCCATTATTTCATGTCCAGATTGAACTGCACCAGAAAGTTAGGGTATAGCTACTTACACATCAAATTGGAATTTCTTGTTGGGTTTTGTGGAGGAAGGAAAACGGTAGAACCAGGAGAAAAACTCTTCAATCAAAATAGAAACCTAACAAACTCTACTCACGTGTGATAATGTCCAGGAATCAAACCCTAGAACCCCTGAAACCCCATACCACTACATCACCCTTGATTCTATTAGGAACCGGTCATTATTTAAGTCAGGGGGGGGGGTTAGGAAACTTTTTTGCGTCAAAATCATTTTCCCCCCCCCCCCCCCCCTTCTGACTTAAATAATGACTGGTCCCTTACTGGTTGTACCTGTACGTACAGTAGTACTGTATGCTTCTCACTCCTGTAAAGAAACACCTTATACCTCAATGGATCTGAGTTTAATACGTATTAAGTGTTGTTGGTAAAACAAAAGGAAGGGAAAAACAGCAAGAATAGTTACCACTGGCTATGTATTAATGGATCAAACAATAACCATGATGACATGGTACTGTTTATTTTTCAGAGAAAGAATGGCAGATTCCGTGCCAATGTTCTAATGCTATTCATTTCTCGTTGTTGTGCTTCTGTCATTCCTGACAACTTTGGCACAGTCATCTGCATTGTTATTTAGTTAAAGAAAAGATCATTAATTCAGGAAGATGAAAACTTAGTATCTTAAACTCGTCAAAATATTACCTTAAATTTTGAGAGGAAAAAAAACAATTTGGTCAAGTTATCATTCTGTTTTCATAGATTCTTAACTACTTTCTTTAACTACTAATTCACTAGTTTTAAGAATTAGTTGGAAAAGTTGTTTTTAGGATTGAAATTTTACTAACTTTGTTATTGGGGTTTCTTTAAAAAAATTTAAGCAAAGAATGTCAGATCAATGCCTTTGTATATCTTGTCCTTCTAAGTAAGTGAAGTTACACTCACATCCTTTCATGGTTGCATTTTTCTTTCAGACAAAGAACTCCAGATCACTGTCATTAGTATTGTATAATTTAATGTTGATGACGTGTGCTTCTGTCAGCTATGATGTCGTTGCTTCAGGCATATGCACACATGCAAGAAAAAGAATTATTTTCCCCAGCTGATRAAGGAGGAGTGTCGAGTGACAATTCTTTGTATTTAGAAACTCTTTCCATTCTCACTTTGTTTGTAACYTTTACTGTTGAAAACCGAAACTTTGAATACCTCGGTATCTCACTGTACTTGTGATCTGTATGTTTTTGAATCGAATGTCCTCTTTGCCACTGTAACAAGCAAAAGACAGACGCTCCAGCTCCATGACAGTTGTGTTAGGTGGAACAAGATCTTATGTTTATTTGTACTTAGATATCATGATGGATCAATGTCTACACATATTTTTTTATTATTTAATATCCAAGCTTTTGGCTCATCCAGCCATCATCAGGAATGATTGCAAATATGAATGACAAGTATTTATAAATGAGATGTTACCATAACAAATAGCAACTCTTTTTTTATGGTAACATCTCATTTGTAAATAGTGGTCGTTCATCTTTGCAACCATCCCCTGATGGACCTTCATCACATGGCGGCCAAGTTTATTCTCATGAGAATAAAAACCAGCTCTGTTTAAAACCGCATAAATTTATTCTCAAGCAATTGAATGCAAGGCCACGCATGGTTTAATCTATTGTTAAAACATTGCTGCCTTGTGAAAAAGGCCCATGATTGCTCAATGAGTCGAAAACTTGGATATTGCATAATAATTATATATAAGTAGAAGAAGCATTGATCCATTGATAACAAGATCTTGTCATATCGCACCATCATGCTTTGGTAAGATGGTCATGGCACTCAAAGCCAGTGTTAGATTCCACATCGTTCTAATAACTCTTGTGCAAATATTATTTGAAGTGTGTRATAAATTAAACCTGTAATCTGTAAAATTAATGGTGGTAATAAAAAGAAAAATACAGGCACTATAATGTTTGTTGGTAAATTCATAACTGATAAAAAGTGCAGTATTTAACCTTTACATAATTAAAACTGACTTATTTATGATGAATGCTTCTGGCTGAAGGGGCCTTCTGCTCCAGGGAATGTTGTGTTGTGGGAATACACTGAAACAACCACTGGACTGATATGAACTAAGTCTTGGCATGGCTAACTCGGTGATTGACTTGGCATGTTGGGTTTTACAGTGCAATGCACAAAAGTATACCACATTATTTTAATTACTTTATGCACTACCATTGGCGCTGCCAAATGAGCTTCTATATGCCTTACTCGGTAAAACTAGCCAGCTTTGCATTTAAATGTGTCTGTTTAATGTACCAAACCCCATGCATAGAAGGATACGATTGCATAAAACATGGTCATTTTTTTGTGCATTGTGTTGCAATCAGAAGTCGATAAGGAAAAGTGGAAAAACAAGGGAAAGACCAAACTCTACATAAAGCTGTTAAGCTACTCATTTGTTGCAAATCACCTATTTTAATTGTGCCTTGCTGCTAAAATAAAGAGGTAAATATGATAATCCTAATCATAATTTTAAGGTCTAATAATTGCATGGGGTTAAATAGCTGAAAAAACGTTTCCCCAAAGTTACTTGTGAGTTCATAAGATGTTCGTAATCCATTACCAAATTCGTACAGATGTCAAAGCATTAGGTATAATGATTGTCAAAGCCTTTGAAAACACCATGCAACTTYGGTTCGGTGTTGGCATTCTTGCACTGTGCAACATGGCATATAGCCATCCAAATTGATTTCATTGGTTGAACTATAAGATTTAAGGGATTTTTCTGGCATTCTTTATACTGTAAACTAACACAATTTGTATTATTACTTATTGTAACATTTTTAATTTTTAAACTTGGTGAATCTTCACCAATCATTTGTAGGAGAGGGTGCAACATTGGTAAACTTATTTCTTCAAAACCTCCATATTTGTATACCTATAAAGGGTAAAGTATTTGGCTAGAGCTGCATAGAGATCAGTCATTAAATGAAAAAAAAAACTAAATATTTTAAAACGTGATGGCTCAATCCTAATAAATTTTATTGAATCGTTAAGGGCAAGTGGTATACAGTAGTTTATGGAATTTCCAGGGATAGGGAGTATGGATAATTCAAGACTAACATGAAAATGCAAAGGAAATTCCACAGAGAAAAAGTCTGATTACAGTTGTGTTTTCACCCTAGCCTTGCGTCGCCAATAATTTTGAGAAGGCTTCATTCCAAATCTGTTTTCTCAACATGGTATTTCTGCAAATCTATACAAAGTAAACAATTTAAGCAAATTATTATAATCAGTTTCTCAGAATCAAATTCTGGAATATTCTTAAATTTTTCAGCTTGAATTAACTGTTAAAACCCAAAAATCAAGTTAAGATATAATCTTTTTTGAAGTCTGAGTCATGCACACAATCTTTTAGTTTAAACCCTGTTTATTAAACATTCTATTTGAGTTGATCGTTATAAGTGAGAAATTTACAAGAGTGTGACTTTAGTAATGTACTCCCTTCAAAAACATTCCAATCAATACTACACGGTAATATTGTGTAGTTCCAGAAATTATCCATGTACCCCACAGGAATTTGGAATTTCCGAAGGGTAGGGGTTCAGAGAAAGAACAAAAATCATTGCAGAGTTTGTACGGAAGAAAATTGGAATTTCCTGGGGTAGGGTCTTGACAAAAAAATCCCACTGTGAGATGGGTATGGATAACTTTTGGAACTCACATTAGAGCAGCATTATCACAAATTTCTCACTAATAAAAAAATATTGTTTTGAAAGATTGAATAATTCACTAGCTCCTTAAAAACACTGATTTGGGCATATAATTTGGTTAGAAATAAAGTTACAAGAAGTTGAAACATTCTGATTGAAATATTCAATTATTGTTGTTTCAATTTCTTCTATAAAGAATGTTTTAAACTCTCTCCACTCCTTGTGGTAAACACTGGGAGATTGAATTTTGTAAGAAGTTACTTGTTGGTAATGCATCGGATTTTGTGTTCTAGCAGAAAAGTATGAAAATACCCAGAGCACAGCTTTTCCCAGCCTCCCTTGCAGCCGTTCTTAGGGTCGTCACCCAACGTTTCCCTCCAAACGTTGCGTGAGGACACTAAGAACGGCTGCAAAGAAGGCTAAGCTTTTCCTGCTAGGAGTAGATGTTGCAGCAAAGGTAGAAATTGATTTTAATCATACTTATAATTTTTGACATTTTGGTGACAATTTACTATTTAGTATACAGAGAATAATTATAACAAAGATTATAATCATAATGATAACAGATTGGTTCAAGGTCAAAGATGATGCACCCTAGTTTGAGAGGGTTTTACATATTATTGTTCCAACTTTAACCATGGTTTTCATTGTTACAAGCTGACTGACACAAAAGTGGTGACAGATCAATTGTCAGTAGACCACTGTCAATCAAATAATAGTGATGGTACATAAAGCTACCTGGGAGTCGTACTCTATAGCTAGATAAAATGATCTAGTTGATTGACAATAGTTTACTGTCAATTAACTTGTTGCGACTTTCATTTTGATTAGCATGTACCTAGCACTGTTAAAAAACCCTCTTGCACCAGGGTAGAGAAGCTATAGTTTTGTTTGAGGTGGTTTCTGTCCACAGCAGGGCTTAAAATAAGGTTGGTTGAGAAGTCTCAGGTCATGATTCCAGCCAAATTAGCTTTAGCTCGGTCATATCCTGTTTTTTTTTTGCTCAATTTTAAGCCCTGTACGGTCGTACAGTTCAATAATCAGTCTAAGTTAAGACCCAAAATAAATCTAGACTTTGTTTGAATAAAAATTATGGCATTAAATTTTTCTGTATTCAAGGATGTGATGGATTGATTTAACAATAATTTGTGAACTATACAGTCAGTAATAATGGAATTTAACTTGAGCCACTGTATCTTGTCTGTGAAAGGAAAGAATAAAAAACATTTCAATTGTTTCATTCAATTGTACATGTTTCCATGCTGCAAATGCTCAGCTGTAAATGAAGAACATTTTTGACTCAGACATACCTGTATAGATCCTATAACATCTGATGCCATAGAAGATAACTTTGGATAATAAAAGAAAAGAAAAATCAAAAATTCATTTAATCAATGGATACAAAAAATGCTAAAAGGTTTCCAATAAAAATATATAGACTTCACACAGTCCAACTTTTCCCTTTAGACTCACCTCCGTGCTTCAACAGAAAACCTAAAAACATGTCTTTACTGAGACTGAAGGCAAAAGTGGAACTGCTTGCAAACTGAAAAACTTATATCTCTTGGAAAGGATGTCATCAAGTTCCCAAAATTATGTTTCCAAAATGTACTTGTAATTTAGTTCTTTCATTATGGGAAAAATTCCTAATGGGCTTCGAATTCAGCACAGGGTTCATGCTGAGGTAACAACTTAAAATTCAAGGACTATTCAAAGAGTATACATATACAAGGACCCAAAAATGCATTTTCAAGGAGTATGTTCAGCTAATAATATGCCAATGTTTTACATGGTGGTTGCACATGGTCGACTTTCAGATTTTCCAATCTTTCTGACTAGATCTATTTCAGAACCATGCAAGTAATGATCCAAACAAAAATTCAAGGCGTTTCACTAAAATCGTAAAATTCAAGAGCTTTTCAAGTCCCCTTGGAAACGTGAATTAAATTCAAGGAGTTGTCGAGGAGTTTAAGGAGTAGCACAAACCCTGCAGCATCATAGGTTTTTGAAAGACTATAGAAATAATTACTAGACCATTAACAGTTAAACAATGATCTTGGCATACCCTTCCAGTAACTCTAGCAACTTCATCTTTAATATTTGAATAATTAGCAGACCCTGTGCGTCCTGAAAACCCTGAAAACAACAACAAATTTAGAAAAATTATAAGAGGAATCTTATTGAAACTTTAACTAGATTAGTTGACTCTGGCTTATGTTTCTAGACAAATTGTACAGATGTTTTCAGTCATGATCTGAATTGGGAAAACGATGGATCAGGACTATTATTTTGCATACGTTTTTGGGAGCTCTCATCTTCAAACAGATCAGCGCTGGAAATCCCTGAAGAATGACCCATTCGTTCCAGTCTTGATTTTGCTCCGTAAGCTTCCTAAAATAATAATAATAATAATAATAATGATTATTTTATTGATGACCTCTGTACATAGTAGCTCTACTGACATTCATCAAAACTAATGTCTTAAAATCTAATAAATAACAATAAACTATTTGTATTCATTCAAGTAAGATGCTTCAGTTTTACAGGTCTAGTTCAATATACTTACATAATTAATTCTTAAAAGTAATCAATTGTGTAATTGAGAGGTAATATAGCAGCTATGTTGGAGGACATCAAAGCTTATTGCAGTTTTYGATATTCTGCAAACTCAGTAGTTGCAAGCTGCACACTGAAATTTTTTTTTTGCGCTGCCAATAAATAATCAGTCRGTACCTTTTATGTTCTTGACTGGCGGCAGTCGACAACCTATTTCACAACAACCCATTGAAATGTCTGAGTTCACAGAGTATCAAAAACTGCAGTAAAATAATGTCCAACCAGAACTGGGACTTGTCTAGTTAAATCTTTGCCTTGCTGGTCATTTTGACTAGTAATGTTAAGTAAGAAATAAGGTATGACTAAGCTTAGACTAATTTGGCCTTTCATTATGAACAGCAACTGATTGGCCATTATTTTAAGCCCTGGATATTGCAATAGAAAATTATTGCTTGTTTGGAAAATGTCATATAAATACCAATACACACCCTGTCATCATCACCATGTAACTGTGAGGACGAAATCGCCTTTGCACTTCCAAACTTTTTCATGACCTCATCTGGATATTAAACAACATTAAAAAATCACGATAAAGAATTAATACAAAATTTAATATCACAAATTTGAAAATAAATCCTAGAAAGCAACCAAGAAATTATCAGGGTTTGCCATTTGTTGGAATGACAGTTAATCATTATCTTTTAAGATTTACAATGAATTATAATATTAATCTTTTAAAGCAAAATTACCTGAGGAAGATGAAGAAGGCTCTGGTACATGTTTGGCTCTTGATCGGCTGTAATGGTTGTTAAAGCAAAAGGTTGTTAGATGTATGGTGTTGAAATAATATTAGTTAGCCACCAAGATTTTACAACTACAGACTATGGAGTCCAAGAATTTCACCAAATAGACTGAGTCAAGTCTTTCTGCATTCTCCCCCAAGCAGTTAATATTTTTTACTGCTAAGTATTTAATTTGTTGAGTAGTCAAAGTGTTTTACAGTACTTAGTGTTTACAATGAATTTTCTTTTGGCTTTAAAACCAATAGAGTGAAATCACTAAACACAAACCCTGTAGATTGTACTCTGTAGTCTGTTGTCATTGAATCTTAAGTGGCTATTGTCATTTGTCTCTAAGGTGGAGTTGGCACACTCACCTGTCCTCTCTGGAGAAGCTTTTAGGATAGGAAGAATTGGACCTGACTTCCTCCCTAGGGAAATAACATACATGAAAATTAATGGGATTTAATGAAACATAAAGAGAATAATGAACTAGATGCATATCTGTGTGAACTCGGGCTTCATAGCAGAAAATCAAAAGAATTCTTCATGAACATTGGATCACCCTTTTTAGATGGTGCAAAGTCTGTGCAAAATTAAGCGTGCTAAAAATGTTGAGGGTGTTAGACTCCATATTATTCATTACTTGAAACAGTGACGAGTCCTTCCCCATATCCATCATTACTCAAGCATGTGCTCATGCCTGATTCTACGCATGCGCATAGACTTTGATTTGAYGCATGCGCCTTAGGGCTTCGAGGGCGATTTGTGACTGAAGAAAAAAAATAACGAAGCCCAATTTATACCTCGGGCATTTCTTCGAAAGCCCGAGTAACAAATGAATGAACACCAACCTGCTAATGACATCCCAACTGTTATCATTGTTACTGAATGGACTGTAACTGTAATAAAAAATAAATATAAACCCTATCAATAATTTAATCAAAACAGATTTTATGTAAACAGATCCAAAAAAAGAATTTAATATGCTATTCAAATTTCAGAAAAGAAAAATTCAGAAGTAAAAGAAATAACTATTAGTACCTTGGTGGAGGTTCAGTTACACTAGGTTCATCCAAGTAGCTAGATATAAAATAAAATAAAGTTAAATGAAGATTAGACTTCCAAGGCTAAACACATTGAAATGGGAAAATAATTTATCCAAAAATAATGCAGACGTCATCCTCCATCAAAGGCAACCCTATTTTTGTGGTAGTCTTCATAAGAATTCAGTCTTAGGTTAGGGTCAAGCTGGGGGTTCATTATGTATTGGAATAATAGGAGAAGGTCATAAACTAGCCGTAGAGTTTTAGTGGGCATTTTAACAAATTAATAAGCTATAATTTGTAGTTTAAGCCAGAGAGTTTTGCTCATTTACTAGAACATTCCCAGATGATTCCCTGACTCTTATTGAAACCTCTGGTGAAGTGAGAGTTGCCAGAGAGAGTGACTATCTTTGATCAATGTAGAAGACCAACAAACCTGTCAAAGAATCCAGTTTGAGATGACATGCCATAAAAACCCTTGCTAGAAGAGCTGCCTTTCTCAGGCTTAACTTGTTCGACAACCATCATGCTTGCAGCGGCAGAATGGCTTCTACCAGTACTCTGTGATTTTGGTCCAGCTCGTGGTCCAAAACCCATTCCAAGTCGTTCTAACTGTGTGGCTTTCTTGGGGTCTGAATGCTTTAGTTTTTCTTCTTCTTTCTTCAAGTCAACTGGATTGTAAGTCAGGTTCGGAGAAAAAAATTCTTCCTTTGCCTCAATGGATTTCTGTTCTACGATTTTCTCTCTGTTTTTGTCATTTTCTTGAGCTTTTGTTTCTATGTCATTGAAGTCAGCCTTAACCTAGCGAAAAAATAAATAAATGATTTAAAATTACTGTAAAACTTAAATGCAACTTAAAATTAGTTATTCTAGCTTTTAAATAAAAAATTCTAAAGTAAAAATAATAAAGTGTCAAGAAAGTTGCACAGTATAGGATTAAGAAAAGAAATAAACAGTGCAATCTGAAATAGGAATAAACTTACTCTCGTAGCTCCAAGTCCTCCTTTTTTAGCTCCAAGCTAGGACCAAACAATAAGTTAATAATTTAATATTAGAATCTAATTAATTACCCAACTAAATCTAAGGGACCATGAGAGGGGGGTGGGAATTAAGGGTGGCTCATTAAAAAAAGGCTCTGGGGGCCACACAAAAACAAAAAACAGATTTACAATAAGTACTATTTTGATAAACAATACAGAAAATTATTATCTATGGATTAGCAAGCGAATCCCACCGCCTCCTCCGCCATAAAAAATGAATGGTCGTTAAAGTTTGAATTACTTACTCCCTTCTTCTTGTTGGCAGTTGGCTTTCTTGTTCCTATGGTGGGTACTCTTGCCTCTGCACATACAGGGGAAAAATACACGAGTTTCATTATCAAAGAATGATAAAATTAATGAGGGAAAAAAATAGAAACCATTGCCCAGCTGAAGTCGGATCTGCATCCAATCAGTATGGGCTTTATGCTAAATGTCCATACAGATCAGCCGCTGAAATTGTACTGCATGTATAGATTAATTAAACACCACATATAGTACTATATTAATGCTCCTTGTTTGACGGCCCAGATTATCCAATCCAGATTAAATGTCCATACAGATCAGCCGCTCAAATCGTACATGTAGTACTATATTAATGCTCTTTGTTAGACGGTCCAGATTACCCAGTGTTTTCCAGTTCCTAACCTGATTTCTTTGGTGGGGATATACTAAGAGCATTGATGTCAAGATCCATGTTCTTGTTCTCTTTGGCTGCGCCATTAGCTGAATAAAAGAATCATTAAGTAAGTATACACTGTACATTATAATATTTGACCCATTTTTTTATTTTATTTATTTATTTTTTGTGATTGGAGAAAGCTTTAAACCCAACTATTATTGGCTGTGTTGCATGTCCATTTTACCAAAACTAGTTTATATATTTTTTATAATAGTACATGTAACTGCATGTTCAGTAATTGTAAAACATTTTATTTACCTGGGCTGTTTCTTCCATTGCTTCCATTATTAGGGATTGTGATGGCATTAGGGGTAGCACTCTCCATTTCAGTGAAGAAGTCTTTATCTTTATCTGGTGAGTTTGGTGTGGCTGGAGCGTGAGGTGTATCAATGAAAAGCTGAAAAACATTCAGTAACAAATAAATTTTATATATATATATATATATATATATATATGTTACATTTTGCACCACGTTACTCAGTATCAGATTTCAGATCTCTGACCGACAATATTTTTTGAAATAGGTGTATACCAAGTGATATTTAAAGCTGTGTATATAGGATTTGTTACACTGAAAAAGGTTCTGCAATAATTTCGACTTTGGATCATATGTACCTGTGTTCCATACATGTTTTGTGCTTTGGCGGCAAGTGATGCAATTTTTTCTCTGTAGAGTAAGGCAACTCGGCTGAAAGTAATAATTATAATATCATCAAGATCATATTATTCAAACTGCTGAAACTGCTATTGAATATAAATTATTGCTCAGGACTCAAAATAGCGGCCTGCCAATGGCCAACTGACTGGCCAAATTTCAGGTTTGGCAGGCGAAAATAATGATTTACTGGAATGACCTCCTTTTACCATGCTCTTATATTTACTTTTGCGGGCTACAATTTTTTTCTATTCCAAGCACTGTTGCTTAGCACGTGTATTAATGCAAACCCTAAGTAATACTTTCATTGTATTCAATATATAAAATACCTTTTGTACTTGGCAGTAGAATCTTCAGTATTTACACTATGTTGCCTGAAAAATGCAGTCTGGAAGATAACAATATATGCTGTAAGACATAGCAATAATAGAAATAATGATAACAAAGACTAGAAAGTTGCTACTTCTTTCTTTATTAGGTAAAAAGTCTTTTTTTAAACAYTGATTTCAAAAAAAAAAATTATGAGAATAATATCACCATATTTAAAAAAATGTATACATAAACGTAATAATTGCAATGATAGCAATATAAACATGTATATATAAAATACTAAGATTAAAGATATTAACTAATATATACAAATTAAATTATATTGCAGCATATAACAATAATTTTAATCAAAATAAACAGCAATTGTAAAAATATGAAACTTTGACATTTTAACATCTTTAGTTAGAGATAAAAGAAATATAATAACCCCATGTTCAAAGTCGACATGGAAACAAATACCTTAAGTTATTTAAGTTTATATGTATTCACAGTACATGATAGATAGTTTCTATGGAGATGGTATAATTGAATGAGAATGTGTGATGTAATGGGTCATTAACAGATACAATGTGGTACCTGACGTCTGTTATACTTTACTAGATACAGTAGGTATATATACATGACAAGAACAGGAGGATGTATCAGCTGAACAGCTATAAGGTCAATATTAATGGTACAATATATACCATAATAACAAATGAAAAAAAGATCTATGGGAATTCTCCAAAAACTTAGTCATCATCGATCATCATCATCCTTCATGCTTGTGTAGAATGTAGGGCTGGAAAAAACTTAATATCTTGGTCTTATCAGATTAACTTCAAATGATCTTTTTTATTGATAACATTTGATTTTTCTTTTAAACCATACAAAATCCTATAGTGAACAAAACATGAGTATTTGGTGTATAACACTATAATTATAAAAATATGAGCATTACCATGAAAGATAGGTACATGTAGCTATAATAACTGTTTCCTTTTTTCAAGGGAAATACAAGAACATATTAAATAATTAAACAGTTTTATGACTTTCTCAGGTTGAACTTAAAGACCATGACWAAATAGTTCGTGGTACAATAAGTCTAAACTATTTTAATGACATAATAATCTTAAAATCGAAACTCTGAGAAATTATATCAGCTGATTTTATATAAAGAGATGTTTTGTTTTCAAAATATTCATGTATCTTGATCTTAACAATCTGGGACTTTTACTTGACTTTTAAATTGTTCATCTAAATTTAAAGAAAATTATACTACTAGAAAAGAAATTCAATCGAAAATCAAAATTATCGATCATAATAATTTAGTTCAGTGTGTATAACAGTCATCTAATAAAATCAATATTATCTTACAGCTTTAGCGTTTCCTCCGACTTGCATTGCTCGTAGTTGATACCAAGTCCAGTTCGTATCTAACTGAGTAGATCTAGATAAGGGAAAATCTATTTATCAGACAATTCTTTGATCATAAGTTTTTCAAATCAACCTGTTTGTAATGATGAATATGTATGAAAATGTATTCTCTAAGTTCTTCACCGTAACACGTAGGGTCTTTAGTCCGGTGTCTGATCACGATATAGAATGTTTTTATGAGATCGATGAGTGTTGGGATATTAACTAATAGTTGCAATTATCTCTTACCGTATAAAAGACAAATGAACCCCTAAACCCCGATGAACAGCAGAGCAATCAATACACAGAAAGACACCATAAGTTATAGAAGCCCACGTTGGATTATTGTGACCACAGTCGAAACACATCTAGGAATCAAAGAAATACAAAAAAATATTCCAATCAAAACCCACAGACACTTTGACAAGATAATAGCCTATAAATCAGCATACCTTGTTATCTCGATGTTGTTTCAACCGCTTAAATATAGCAGTTATATCTTTGGGGTTCGCTGGACCATCCGCCATTTTGATTTCTTTTTGCCACACGAACTTTGGATATACGTCACCATTAGCCAGGTCACGTGTTCGTATTCTTCACCGGAAGTCTCGCAGCCTGGAGTTTTGCATAATTTATTATTATCGTTCAAAGAAAAATTAGATTTATTGGACTTTCTTATATTGGAACACTTAATCGTTAATTTTCTAGCTGACTTGAATCGTGTTAGTTGATTTTGGCATTAGAATATGATTTTTTTAAATTATATTAGTCAAGTTATTAAAGTAAACTTCAATATTGATGATTATAATTTTAATTCTTAAGAACCAATTTCAACAATTTTAGACTTAATAAACAAATTTTATAATTGGCATCTTAAAAAAGTAAAAAGTATTCTATTTATTTCCTTTTCCACGCGTTTCCGGTTATCTGCTCTTCCGGTTTCAAATCTGAAAACGAGGCTAGCACGCGCGCTGGAATTGGCGGGAAAATATTTTGTGTGCAACATTTTTTCTTCGCAACAAGAAAGCAACAAGAAAGCCGTGTTGGTGCCAAAACAACTGATTTATGCCGCTTATTTTACCGGGAAAATATAAATTCCCTTTTCAAAATAACACTTCTTTTATTGCAAAAGTTGTACCTGACACATGTGAAAAATGCAGAGCGTGAACTACACAAATTCGCAGAGCCAACAACCATTTTTCAAGACTTCAACATCCGCGACTTCTTACTTTCTGAAATTTGACAAAAATGGCAGTAGAACGGCTTCTCAGAGTCCTACAAGTCAAACAAATGGCTATTCTTTGCCTCAACAAATTGATGTTCGACCGGTTAATCTGCAAGGAGAACGACATTTATCTCCGGTTTGCCAAAAAGAGAAAGGTTAGCTAAACTGATAACATTAAGCGTGTTTGCTTATAATGATGTGCTACAATATGTTGGGTTCTTGAAATATCAATAAGCTTAAATAGTCGTGTTTTTTTTTTTTTTTTTTGTCTTTTTTGGTGGAAACTTCATAGAAATGGAAAAAGAAATGCCACAAGACCCAGAAAGGATGCAGTCTCTTCACTCGAAACTTCATCAAGAGGCGGAAAAGATAAGACAGTGGAAAACATCAACAGAAATTGAACTAAAGCAAAAGGTAAAATAAGTGCATTTAAAGTTTCCCAAGTTTTTTATATTTCCACCTCTGACTGAAGTCACATTATGATTTATTAAGAAAAAGTTCAAAACCTGTTTTTCCCCCCATGTTAGAATGTGTGCAAATTAAAGTACAACAGTAGAGTGCATAAAAAAAATTGCACAAATTTGCACAATTTTTAGTAAGTTCAGTAAACCGCGTGCGTAGTCCTACGAAAATTTGCATTAATTTGTACAAGTTAATCTTTCCACGGATAAATGGTAAGCGACTAAGCCAGTTATTTTGTACTAAATAGTACAAAACGGAGCAATTCTTGCTGATTAGTCTTCGTCATGATATTTATAATCACTGTGTTTATTTAACATTTGTAAAATTTTTTGTCTTTTAGGAAAGAAGGCTTGTAGAAGCTTCTCAAAAGCTAGAGACACAAAGAAACGCAATACTCGAGCTACAGGTTATTATATATAATTTAATAATTATATACATATATTTTGTAGATTAATGAAGCGCTACTGTTTAGAAAATAAATATAAAATGACGTAATCACAATTCATATGACGTCATGATAAAATAGAAAATCGAAAGTGCAGTATGATGTGATGTCGTCATGTGTACTAATATATATTCATGTATGTATATATATATTCAATAATGTATTGATGCATTTTTGTTGCTCAGCTCCACAATGAACGCATCAGCTCAAAGCTGCAAGACGAGATGGCTTGTCGACAAGAAGTTGAACAAAAGTAAATTTTACTGAATGAATTGTTGTTATTATTGTTTAGTTCCATGGAAAAAAATCTTAGGTGTGATGCTAAGGTTGCTTTCCTTGATTTATAGAGTCACTTCTACGAGGATCATGTGCAACGCCTTGAAAGATCATTTCGCTCATCTTAATAAAAAGATAAAGGAAGGTAAATTTCGTGATTTACAAACTCGGTTTAAAATGTTACTAAAATCACCTGCTTGATGATATAAATATACTCTTTAGGAGAAAATGATCGCGATGAACTGAAGCTTATAGATAAACACCGTATGGATCAATATCAGGTAAACTTAGATCATTTGTCCGATTTTGCAGGAATAAAAAGCGTTCGCAAGAAATAGAATGGTCAGTTTTAAATTTTTGTTATGATAGGAAATGCTTATCAAATTTCAAGAACTGGAAATCGACCAAAAGAAAAAACTTGACAGCATGAAGGCAAAAGGTAAGTGCCGCATGATTACTGGACTTGGGAGATGAACTAAAGGTTTCAATTAGTTTCGATACCAATAATCAGTGTTTTAACAGATCCCTTTTTTATCAGTTGAGGAAGAAAAGGACAGATACGAAGATTGTATTTCGAATTTACAACATCAGGTATAAACATTTTGAAGTTATTGACAGTGAAACAAACTTGGAGGGATGAAAAATAAAAACAGTTTCTTCATGTCTAGATAAGTTATCTAACAACAGAAGGAGAAGAAATTCAGAAAAAGATTGACATTATGAAAACGAGCGTGACGGAAAAGGACAAGGAATGCGAAAGACTAAAGAAAGAAAGAGGTATGTTATAGGAATATTTGTTCTCCCTTCCACATTTATATATCATTATATGTCATGTTTGTATTTGTTCCAGATAATCTTAAAGACAGAATAAACAAGATGGATAGTGCAATAATTTCACTGCAAGTAACATTAGAGAACACGGATGAAATGCTGTTGCGCAGTAAGGTTAGTATTCCTTGTTAATGATTAAGGCCTTGTTCTGCGAAGAGCTGCAAGCAAGCGAGCCAGAAATCCATGGGCGACCCTATTTTCGTTTGTTCTTTGACCCTGATCTTTCATAATTACTTTATTCAATTGTACTAGCTTCTGTGCTTTATCATTTTTCCAGGAAGAAACAAAAAATATGGAAGAAGACCTAAATTTCAGCAAAAGCAAGTTAGAAGAATGTGAAGAAATAGCGTCGCAGCAACGCGAAGAAATAGCAAAGATTGAGGAGAACTATCAAGAGGATATTCGTAAACTGAAAGAACAGATTACAAACTTGCAAGAGAATGCGGAGAATAAACAGAAAAGGTTTAGCATTTGAACAGCAAGTCGAGTATATGAATAAATAAGATGGGATGGATGGATGGATGGATGATTTATTCACCTGAAAGCATATCTTTTTTTAAATATAGGTTGGAAGAATGTATTGTTAAATATACGAAATCTATGAATGAAATCCAGCTACTAGAAAAAAAATTAGGTCAGTAAGGTAGATGTATTTGTGAGGCATTTTTAAATCATTATATATACGATTCTACATTTTTATCATCTTGCTTCATATTTTTACTTGTAGATTCTGTTTTGAAGGATAATGACGCAATCATGGAGGAACTCGAAATATTAAGAAAAGAAAAGGTACTGGCTTCCCTTGCACCAATATTTTAACAACTAGTCTACACTAATATACTGACGTTTATGCACTAAAGACGGTTCCTAACCTCATTTATATCAAAGTCGTACGATATGTGTTTTCCTTGTATGTTTTTTTCCACTTGAAATGTATACTCATACATACCTTGCTTTTCCAGACTGTGTTTGAAGATCTAAAGCGCAAATTCCAAGAATCAAAGAATGATATCTCAACTCTTCAAAAGGAAAAGGCTGTTTGGTCAGAGAAAATCATGGAAAAGGAGGTTTAATAACACAATATATCTTGTCATGGCCATACCAGAAGAACTTATAACACATTACCATTTTGGTTTTGATTAATTAATTAATTAAACTATAAAAGCCTTGTCACTAATAATTTGAATGGTTTTTCATATTAGGAAAGTATAAGAAACCTAAAACAGGAAATCGTGAATATGAAAGATAATCAGAAAGAACAAGCCAAAATCAAAGAAGAAATTCAGTGTGTTCTTGATCAAGAAAAGTTAGTTTCAACTAGGATATATGGTGGCAGAATATACCCTTCACCACCAGACTCAAATCGTTTCCCCTTGTTTACGTAGGTCTGTGAACTCGAAGCTACAGCATGAGCTACAACAAACAAAGGTTAGTTAAATTAAAGTTAACTTTTGTTTTGAGGAGTGGAAGCTAAGGCAATAAAAAACACTTTATAGGATGCAAGAAAGCAGCTTGAGCAAGAAAAGACGGTTCTTGAAAATACCATTGACAATTTGGAGTATAAATATAAGGTAAGTCACTGCCCTTAAAGGATTTTAAGATACTCAAATCTTCATGCAAGGTCCAAAACATAGACGCTATCGATCGACCATGTGATTGATTTTGACAGAAACAAAGGGAAGCTATTTGTCCCACCCCTGGGGGCTCCACAACACTTTTGGATAGATGTTAGTGGCTCCAGTAACATAAACAGAAAATCGGCATGATAAAAACATTGCTGTTCTAGTGGTTTTTTGTTTTTTGTTTTAGGAGAAGGAGAAAGAAAGGATGAAAATGCATGAAGATTACACAAGGCTTAAAGAAAAATCCGTCGCTTTGGAGTATGTTACAGATCGTTCTATTAATTAAATCACGTGCCTTGTCGTTACTGCTCATTGAACTGCAAAACTAAATTCTCATACTTGCTTTTTCTTACCCTTACACTCCATTGTCTAAACTTGATAACTAAACAAAGCTTTGAAAGAATAATCAATCTTTGGTTCCAGAGAAAAGTATGAAAAGCTAAATGAGTATGTCGAGGAACAACATCACAAGACAACTGCATTAATGCAACAGGAAGATGCCAACGTTAGTATAGTTAAACATAGTTCCTTCCTAATTCATTTAAATTAAAATTTCTATCGTATAGAAATATATATCTGCACTTCTCGTTGGTCTTCTGAAATTTTAGGTCAAGAAGTTGAGAAATGAAGCGCAGGAAAAGGAAAAGCGCACAAAATCATTGGAGAAAAAGGTTTGTGTTGCACTCTGATGTACGTTCTTGACAGACGTAGTTACCTAATTGAAATATTATCATATGGTCACGGAAACTCATGAATAAAACGTTTTTTTTTCAGTACGAGAACCTTCAGGCACAATTGGGTACAAAGACAAAGACAATCAAGGAACTTCAACAAGAGGTAAGATATTTTTTTGAACATATAGGAATGCTTTTTCAGTGGCCGCATTGAATAATTAAGAGRAAATGAAACATTGCTAACTTGAGATGTATTTGCATCAGTTGCGGATTTAGGGGGAGGTCATAGGTCCAGTGAAATAAGGTGGCCCTAGCCACCAGTTTTTGTTGCTGTTGGAGAGGGACTGGGTATCCTGTGATGAAAACTAGGAAGATCAGCCAACACAGGAAGCCCAGTATAGGAAAAGAGAGAGAAGAGAGAAAAGAGCAAATAGCAAAGAGACCCCTGCGGAGGAGGCTACGGTGGCCCATAAGGGACATGCATCAATTTGTAGAATAAGAAAAGATTTGCTCAATTTTAGACGAGCTGCTGCATGTCAGACAATAAGCATTACGCGCGCAGTTTGTCGATTGGGTGTGAATAAAAATGACTCTCTTCGTGCCACTTTATTATAGGAACTTTGCTCATGTTTAAGACTGCCACCACGGATTAAATGTCAAGCAATCTTAGTTTTCGACGATTTTTCAAAACAAAATTGGTAAATCAATCGATTGAAAGTTACAAAAAAAAATTGCAATTTTTTTAGGAGGCATAAGTTTCAGGTCACCCATCCAGGTTCTAACTTCGAAAACCGGACTTGACTCAGTGTTATGGAAGCCCAAGTTTTTTCCACTGAGCCACGGTTTGAGGTAAATTAGCATAAGAATAGCCGTAAAAACAATGACCAAATAGACTAGACTTTTTAACATTATTTTTTCAACCGATTCCGTGCGTGGCAGAGATGCAAGGGATTAGCCGATATGGTCTGGGGGCCGGTTGGTCTCTCCCCTGATGCTTCGGCTAGAACATTTTCTTGCGTAATTCGTACACCCAAGGGCAGAAGGATTTAATTGCCGTCAGGTCCGAAGTCCATACGACGCCTCAGCTCTGCGGATGTCTCGGGGGTATGGCACATTAGAATCGATTTTTTATTATTTTATTTCGGTCGTTGGGTTCGAACCCTATCGTATCCAGATAAGTCTTTATATTTTTTTAATGTATTTTATCATCAAATTTCAGTTGGCAATATCTTTTTAAGTAGAAAGAGTGATTATTTTTTGCTCATATTCAAAATCAACAGTTAACAATCTCGATCGAAGAAACAACGAGTGTATTTTCCTTATTTGAAATGCCTCTTCGGAGAGCTTTTACTCCTCTTAGTTTGGATTCTCGCAATTTTCTCTGTATATATTGCTATAATTTCTGGTATTGTGCTATAAAACGACTATACTGCATGTCTACCCAAAGGGGCCAGCCTAGTTTCTAGGTCTCTGCGCATAACCCACCCCCAGTACTATCATGACTATCATGCCTCATTGATACTTTAATTGGGATGTTATAGGTAAAGAGTCTCAAGAGTAAGATGACTTCCCAGACTAAACAATCAGATAAACTCGAGCACCAGGTAAGCCAATCCCTCTTATCTTTTGCATGTAAAGTCATACAGCTTAAGGGCTGTTTTTCACAGCCTCGTTTGTTTTTAGGCCTCATCACTGTCGGACCAAGTGAAGAACAAAAATGAAGAAATAAAAGATCTTACAACACAGGTTGCATTAGTTCTTGTAGTTTTTGCATACGTGTTTTTATTATTTTTGTGTATTCTTTATATTCATTATTATTTTTCAATGCGTATTTTATCAATAGCTCAAAAAATCTAATGACCAACAAGAAGCAACAAACAAATCACTATTATCCTTCGAGCAAAAGGTTAGAATAAATATTTCACTGAGTTTTAGCTGACTGGCTTACATATGCCTTACTATTCAACTGTGCAACATTTTAAAATTCAGATTGAAAGCTTAAAGAAAGAGTTAAAAGAAAAAGAAAAGAAAACAATTTACCTTGAAGAAGAAGTAAGTACGGTAATTTTGTCGTAAAGCCAGAACAATCATATTTAGCCATTGCAAAATTAATCACGACCTTTGAATAAATCTTTTTCTTAAAAAGGCTGTAAAGTTAAAAGAGTTGTCAGATCAGTCTGTAAAAGATAAAGATGATGCAAAAAAGACGTTTGAGCAACAAATGGCTGAACTTTGTTCGACATTGGAAAAATACAAGGTATATAAAATACAACCATAAAGGCATTAATAGGGTAGTAATTTACCCAACGTATTTTTTTATGCCATCCCTAAAAATAGCAGGTGCATGATTAACTTTCTTACCCGCAGATGGAGAATGAACGAATCGTTGCCCAAAAAGACCGGGAACTAAACCTAATGCGACAAAAACTGAAAGGGGATAAGGAGGAGTCTACTCAGGTCCAAGAAAAAAAGATGAAAGAAATGAAAGAAAAGATTGCTTCACTCCAAAAACACTTAGAAACTGCAGCCGAAAAACAGGTACATTCTAGAGATTGCTATAAAATCGATTTCTATATCTAAGTTTTTGATCACATTTTTTACGGTATTTTATATAATTCATATTTATATTATTAGAAAGAGCTGGCTTCAGCCTTAGAAAAAGAGCAAGGAACTGTTCTTTCTCTTCAAAACCGCTTGTCAGACGAAAAGGTTAGTGCATTTGTCATGATGCCATGATACGAAACCAAGATCCAATGACATTGATAATTGCTTGATTTCTCAATGCTGACTCGAGCATTTGATTCTCACATCAAGGAAAACATGAAAAGCCCACGCACGCCTCGAAAGGGAACAGAACATCAGGTAAATTAACAGCATAATGACCTATGCTCCGACGGTTTGTTATTTGTGACATGCAACCTAGGTTTAAGAGCTTGTTGATGCAATTTTAAACCGCATTTAAAAAAAGTTTTTAAAAATCTTTTTTAGTTCCAAGAAATTAATTGCCCCTACCAAAATTTTAACTTTATTGACAATTTTGTTATTATTTTCTTTTATCTTTATTTCTAATTTTTATTTGCTATGGCCAAGGGCAAAGGAACTTCGTGAATCATATCGCTAAAAACAGGTTTTTTCCCGCTTTACTTGTTTTAACAACCAAAGCTATTTTATATTTCAATGAAGGTTCCAGAAACACCTGAAGTATCAAAGAAACTTGCAGGGACTACAGAAGGGTTCTGGACACCCCAAACAAGTGCAATGACGACACCCAAGGGTATTAGGACCCCAACTATTGTACGAAGCATTTTAAAAGACCAGTCAGGTGGTTCCAAGAAAAGGCGAGTTGTATTTGCCGAATCAGATGTGGCTGTATCAATATCTTCATCTGATGACGAAGAATGCTTGCCCAAAACCAATAAGGAGGTAAATGCAAAACAAATTGATGAGCAGCGTAAAAACGATTCTCACTGTTTTTTACAATAATTATTAAATTCAATACGAAAATATGCAATATGATCCATTTTCGTGCATTTTTCCCCGCTTAAAATAAGGTGACTGACGACAAAGAAGTTAATGTGGATGATAGGAAAGTTCCATCTCATGTAAGCAAACCGAATGTGCGTCATTCTCCCAAACCAGCATCTTGGAAAGAGGACGAGAATAAGACTGTTTCTAAAACACAGCAGCTTGTTGTAAATGAAACCAAGCCACTAAAACCCGTGCCAAGAGGAAAGCCAGTGAGGAAACCAAAAAAGGTACGTACCTTTTTCGTGCTTAATTTTTGCAATCAGTGTTGTCTAGATTGCACTTTAATAAGTATGTTTTTATTTCTATTTAAGATGAAAATGAGCAAGGAGGATACAGATGAGCTGACAAAGTTTAAAGATCTTTTCCCTGACATAAAGAATACAGAAACGTTGCTGGCTAAAACACCTGCTGGTGTAAGTGTAAATTTTTGATTGGAAGGAGTATATAGACACTAAATAACCAAACGTCCATGCCAAGTCTATCAAAATGTCAAATTTGTTTTGAACTGGGAGATGATTCATTTCCTTTTCAAAGTAAAGATATCATTTTTTAGATTTTTTGGTTAAAAGATGCTTTTCTTATTAAAAAAAGAAATAAAAATATAGGATGATACTCATATTACATTTCCGGCGCCACGTTAACAGCTCAATGCGGCAATTTCGACTTTTTTTGCCAGTCTTCACCTTTATTGGTTGTTAAGTTATCTTATTTGAATATCCCACAGCGAAAAACGTCAACAGAGAAGAAGAAGAACGCCCCATTCAAAAGCAAAATAAAAGAAATCAAGCCTATTATCAAAAAGAAAACGACGGGAGATGATATTTTAGATTGGTTCGACACAGATGCTCTTTTTGGGTTCGGAGAATGCGACGAATAATAAATAAGTAACCATTAATATTAGGCCTGAACCGGTTGTTAGTTCCTAGCCAAGATTTTGGTTTGTTTATGCAAACAGACACATTTATGAACTTTATATTTCTGCTTCTTTTACATCGAACGAGTGACTGTTTTATTAAACAATTTTCATATTTTAAAAACTTGATGCAGTTAACCGTAGTCTAATTTTTGTTCCTAGCGGTATGGGGGGGGGGGGGGGGGGGGGACCAAACAAATAGAAAAAAAAAATCATGCGATCATCTAATGGAAGCTTTGCATCACTACGTTATGGTCCAAAACCTCAATAGGCTTGTGGCCATGAGACTGACAGTGCCCTTATATCTCGACTATGCACTGTCAATTAATGTCAGGTGATAGCCCATAAAGTCAAACAAAGAGTTTGTCCTTTGAAGTTTGCCGGCTTTCCTAACCATATCCCTCTAATTATGGTCACATCTAGGGTATTGACATCGGGCATAGGGTAAAATATGGACTGGACTCTTGGACTCTTGGACCCTGGACTCTTGGACTATTCTTTGGATCCATGTTTGAACCATTATATTTCTTATAACTATTGGTCATAGCCTTTCATTTGAAAATGTTACTTTGATTTGCGCTCATTCGAAGCTTGATTTAGAAGTCGTTCCATAACAATTTCGCTTATCTATACTCTGTGTGGTCTCTGTATAGCCATCTAGATAGCATATAGAAGACTTGAAGATCCGTGGTTGCAGTAGTGCTGAGGATTCTGTTGTAAAAGACACATTATTTTATGACCGTGAAGAATGGTAGTCCATTTTCGAAGCAATGTTTTTATGCCCATTATATCTGTTTTTTCAGCTAGAGTTACTTTACAAATCTGTCAAATCAAGTTAAGTATCATTTTACATGGGAGATAAAAGCAAGCTCGGTATGCAGGCAAATAAATTGATTCGAACGCGGCCATATGGCAGCAAAATAAAAACCTTACAAGTGATTAAAAAAAAGACTAATGAATATAATGACCAATAGTTATAAGAAATATAATGGTTCAAACATGGGTACAAAGAATAGTCCAAGAGTCCAGGGTCCAAGAGTCCAAGAGTCCAGTCCATGTTTTACCCCATGCCATTGACATCGGGATGTGATGCAGGCTATATGATTCATACGCAACCAAGCAAATCAGTTGATTATTTTGATAGACGATCAAATGTTTCCTCAGTGCTTGTCTTTTTTTACTTATTTATTTATTTATTATTATTTTTAACTGAATTAAAAGATCTCAGGTGGTTTTGATTAGTTAAATATGAAAGTGGCTGGTATCCATAGGGGCTCTTATTATTATTATTATTAGTTATTATTGTAAGGTCGACCTTACGACTTTTGAGCTGTCGGAGCTGTCACTGTACATTGTTATTTTAAGTATCAAATTCCCTATCAGTAGCTTTACATCAGGATAGTCAGTCTTTTTTCACTCCCGCCGGAATAACACTTTTAGATCGAGTTAAAACATGAGAACATGAAGAATATTAAAGGACGTTACCTTTTTGCAATCGCAATCGTTGTGATACTACTTGTTGGTGTTTCGATTGCTGTTGGCTATGTTATTGGACGTGCTGTTTATAGAAGAAACGAGCTTGTTGAGAAAACTGCCAGCACCTCATCGAAAGTGACTTCGGAAACAGAGAAGCAGCTTCTCCACAAAGAAGCAGTAGAGCAAGTGTCATCCTCTAACCTAAGAGAATCCTTGAGGTAAATCAAAAAAACAATCTGCAAGTTATACTCGAGTACGATAAGTGTTATCATCATTTAACCCGTAGCTACCTCTGTTTGTAATTAACTATTAAACTGCCCTGAAAATTCAGAAGAGAAAACAGACGACACTAGCATCGATCCGAAAGCCGTTTGTTTATATGACATGATTATTCTCAGCTCCAACCTCATGGAAATATTGTGTTGGTCATAAACCATTTTAGCCTATTATTATGATTGAGTTGCAGACCCCAATCTTAAAAATTACGATGGCGTGAACCCCTAATCCTCCTTACCCGGTCCTTAGCTTACATGTAATCTGCTTGTAAATATTTTGTCCTCAGTAGTTATATTGAAATCATGACCAGTTAGCAGCTTATCACTTAGTATCAAACATTTWAAAAAAAACTCACCACTATGAGTATGACTAATACAAATTAAAATCCAATAGATATTTTACCAGTATACCTCACACTCCTGGTTCTAAAGAAACATATGATCAAGCCTTGCACATCAAGAATAAATGGTTAGAATATGGGTTCGACAATGTGGAGCTCAAGAAGTATCAGGTTCTTCTATCTTTTCCGGAAAAGGCTGGAGTGGTGGCCATAAATGCAGAAAATGGCACTGAACTCTACAAAACCTTACCCCCAGATGTTAACAACGATCCGGCTTATAACGACTCCAGGGTATTCCCACCATTCAGTGCCTATTCTCCCGCTGGGAGTGTTAAGGTAACTTTTTAGTATGATTATAGTAAATTTTCTAAGTAAAGCGTACATTGTTCCCTGCTACCAACTTATCATGATCTAATGGTGAACCAATGTAAAACTTATTCCTTCTAGCAAAAAGACCACAGATATCAGTGATATCAAATGTGCTTCCCCTGTTCTGATCCTACGTTGCAAGAAGCGAAGAAAACCCTGTAGGATTATTAAAAAGATGCAGTATGACATGTTATCGGGTACATAAAGAACGATAAAATTCGCTAGGCTAGTTAGATTCCGGCTCAGTAGTTTATTTCCTCAGTGATTCCTGGATCGACGAAATACAAATGCTATGTATGGCAGACACGGGACGGACTTTGAGATATTACCCTCCAAGATTGTGTGCATCTAATGTATAAAATATATATCTGGTATGCCCTTGGCGTATAAAATAAGTAGTACRTAGGTTGTGTTGATGGAGTTTCCTGTCAGTGTTAGGCGATGCGATAATAGGGGCCAAGGGCAACAGCTTGTTACCACAGAGGCAAAAACGTCATAAACCAGAAAACTCGATTGGGTTTTTGTTTACTTCATATCATATGCTGATCATAGGCAAAACCAATCTACTTCTTTAATTAAATTTGTTTTATTTTTACTAAAGGGGAAATTACTATTTGTTAATTACGCAAGAGTTAGTGATTTCGCACGTCTTGCTAAACACAATATCAGCTGTAAGGACAAGATTTTGATCGCGCGGTTTGGAAAAACATCTAGAGTCTTCAAGGTAAGCACTTTACTTTTTTTCTCCTTTGTTGACCTGTTTATATTGGGCGTTTGGGGACATGGGGTTTGGTGGGTTTGATTCCATCTATACAAAGAACTTCCACGATTTCCGCTTTCTGCACTACCGTAAAAAAGGAACACGTGTTACTCTTATTGAAAAAAGCAGAAAAATGTATATCACAAAAATAGCCACAAGACAAAGCAAAACATATTCATACAAATAACTGACAACTATTTGGCTGCAAAGTGCGTCAGGGTTTTGACATAACTGCTGTCTATACTGCCATCTTTCATAAAGTCACATTCTTTGTTGTCTTGTTGATTAAATAGCATGGGCGAGCCCACAAAGCTGGAGCAAAGGGCCTTATAATTTATATGGATCCTCAAAATTATGCTAAACAAGGCATAGACAAGGTATACCCGGAGTATAATTGGCTACCTAACAATGCTGTCCAAAGAGGCACTCTCAAGTATTCGAGCGTTAGAGGTGACCCATTAACACCAGGCTATCCAGCTGTAGGTAAGCATAATATAAAGTAATATCCAATGTCCTTATCGAATGCATGGAAGACCAATTAATATTCTACAATATTATTATTATTATTATTATTATTACAACTATATTAATAAAATTTATAGTGCAATCGGTTGTGTTTGAGGTATCTCTTCGGTGGGTGCTTATTTGGCAGATTGTCCTATTATGAGTGTGAAAAGATAACGGTGCAGTGACCTGTGCCGGTGACATGTCAAGTCCAAGAAACATCTACATTTACGTCTTAATCATAGCCACGTATTACATTTTTAGATGGAATTTATCGTCTTCCTCTTGATGAAGCAAAGAAGGGTTTACCCCAAATTCCAGTCCACCCAATGCCCTATAAAGATGCGGCTCCATTACTAAGGTAATTTCTATATCTTCAGTACCCTACTCTATATCTTCAGCACCCTTTCGTAACCATAGTCTAAGCCATGCAAAACCATTTCTTCAAGTTTGAAATTCTTCAACCGAATCTACTAATCATATGCTGTTTGTTGTAGAATGCTCACAGAAAATGGTAGCATAACTCTCAAAACCTGGCAAGGTGGACTCGGCTTTAAGTATGGAGTTCAAATGCATCCAAATGATACAAGGCAAGATCTTCTTACCTCATTTAAAATTTTTACTTACTTTTTCGTTCAGTCGATCGGTTAATAGGATTTTGCAGCCGTCATGTGGCTGAATTAGCTCTATACAAAAAAAAATCCTTTTTTCTTTTTCTTCTTCTCGATTGCAGAGAGGTGACTCTTAACGTCAGTACGGTTCTACAACAAAAGGATATTTATAACGTTATTGGTACCATAAGGGGAACAGTTGAACCCGGTAAGATAGCAGCAGAATATAATAGAACTGGGATAACAGTACAAGTCTATGCAAATTCAGATGAGCTGTATCTTTAAAAGGGTTCCTCAATGCACTTACGGTATTATGGTCTAGCCGAGGGCTACTGTACAAGCATCTTTTGTTAGCCAAGGGTGCGGCTTATATGAAGCTGGACCACAATGTATCTTGATTTTTTTGATTCTTTGCTGTACCGCTGGCCAGAATACTGCTCATGATTGCATAATTTAAATTTCTTAACGGCACTATCATCGCCTATTGCCACTAACAACACCTACTATTTAAAACTGCGTATATTTTTGCTACGATTAGATCACCTTGTACTAGTTGGTAACCACAGAGACGCATGGGTCTATGGAGCTGCTGATCCATCCAGTGGGACAGCAGCCATGATGGAGACCTCTAGGGTGATGAGCAATTTGATCAAAAAAGGTTTGTTTGTACCGATGAACACTGCTTTAAAGCCTACGTAAAGAAAATTGCTCATATTGAAATGAATTGTTAATAGGATGGAAACCGCGAAGATCAATCGTGTTCTGCAGCTGGGGAGCAGAGGAACCGCAATTAATGGGTTCATCGGAATGGTTGGAGGTTCGTACATTATAAATAAATCTTGGTTATATTTAGTGTGCTATCTTGAAAAAAAGTTTTTGCAATTCAAGTCAACAGCTATTTTATACTGGCTAACACTGATCATACTATTATTAATTATGCCTGATGACGTCTTATTAATTGAATGGAAATACATATAGTCTTTTCCATCCAATTATCGTTTTTTTACTGAAATATTGATCATTAAAGCGAATTCCTGCTTCGGATTATCTTTCATTTCATTTTTTTTAGGATTATGCCAAGCTCCTATATCGCCGCGTGGTTGCCTATCTAAATGTAGATATGTCTGTAGATGGTGAGAATGTTTTAGTGTTCCCTCAATTTAGCATTCTATTTCTCTTAGTTTTCTATTGCCTAATAATATCATCTCTTACTATAGGAAACTATTCATTCAGGGCAAAGTCAATGCCTTTAATGGCCTATGCTCTATTTGATGCGGCTAAGAAGGTAGGTCAAATGGTTAACATTAGCTAACATTAATATTTTTGTCAGCCAAAACTTGAGCTGTGGTATTTGAAAATGGAGTATTTGACATGGGTAGATCTATATAGGGTCCTGAAATATTCCAGTGCACGAACAGTACCTGTTATCGTGAGGGTGATTTCAATACAACTTCCTCTTAGGTTCCCAGTCCATACGGAAACGAGACCGTATTTGATGAATGGAGACGCAAACTTCCGAACTACAACAAGAAACTACCGATGTAAGTCTATCCCTTCTAATAAATTTCTTGTCTCCGAGCACCTATTCATTCAAGCAATTTCTCGTATTTCTATGATTATGGGGAAAAAATATTACCGTACCGGTAACGGAACCAATCGTAGCAAGGGGTGTCACCGCAGCTTATCAAATAACTTATATAGATTGCTTATAATATTAAATTGCAATCAACAGAGCAGAGTGTAGTTTTATGCATGCAAAACATGGGTGTGTTTTATGCGGTAATCAGTGCATAATCTTGCAAACATAAGCTTGGTTTCTACATTTTTTCCCAGACTACAGTCTATTCGCGCTGGCAGCGACTACGCTGTTTTCTATCAACGTCTTGGCATTCCATGTGTCGACATACGGTATACTTATGACAGAGTAAGTTGCCAAATTACGCCATATTTCTTACCTTATATTGTTATATATACAATCCATTAATGCTTGTATCGTCTTTGTTTATGTTAGGAGACAAGTGGTAATCCCCTGTACCATACTATTTATGACAACTTTAAAATGATGTCCACTCTAATAGACCCTCAATTCAAATACCATCAAGTGACCACGCGGGTGTGGACGCAATTAGCTTTCAACTTCGCCGACTCTATCGTGGTGCCGCTAAACGTTACGAACTATGCCAGCAGGTTATCTTACTACACAAGAGTGTTTGAAAAGAAATACAAACTCAAAATGGCAGCAAATGGTGTTACAATGGGTTTGTATCATATCACTGGTGAAATTAGCATTTACTATTCCTTCGGGGGCGGGTCCAGTGTGGTGGAGCTTGACCGAATTTCGCGTATGACACTACGGTACTTGGAAAAAATATTAAACAATTTATTTTTTTCTATTCCACTTTAAGAAACATAACCAACGTCCTGAAGTGCACCCACCTGGATCCGCCCCTGCATGTTCTTGTTTAATATACAAGTTGAAGAGCATGCCATGATGTTCACTCCATCCTTTCGGTTTACAGCAGGTGTAAACTTACGCGGGAAATGTCCTTTCTTTCTGCGCAAATTTTTACATCTTGCGTTTTACTTGTAGAGTATGTACATTCAGCCATCACTAACTTCACAATTGCCGCTAAGAAATTCAAAAAGGTGACCGAGGAAGTGGACAAAAATGAGTAAGCAAACAAAACTTATCGCGTAACTTATGTCATAGGCTGTTCAGTTAGACTAGGGGTGCTTTCCATTTAATCTAATCCAACTGTTTGGATTTTTTGCTAATAGCAAGAAAAGTGCGGGAAACTTTGATTCCCGACAACTTGTACACGCCTTTACCGAAAGAATCTTAAAGAGAAGGAAAAGCAATAACTACCTCAATCTGAAGACCGAGTTTTCCGGAACTCTTCCGATCGGAATGACACATTCCATTTGTTTTCCGACCGGTATTTCCGGTTTTTCCGGGTAAATGGTAAGCACTCTAGAACTTGCATGCGCGTGCAAGCTTGTGTGCCAGTTGTGCGCCATCAGGGTTGTTGCAAATGTCAAATCAAGTTAAGAGTCCAAAGTCTTTACGAATCATTTGACGATATCAGTCTTAGGAGTTTCACCAGCCCTAACCTCTCGAAAATAAACCGGAATAAAATCATAATTAATATGATTTTCCTTGGTTTTCAATTTACAGTTCCCTTACTCGCCTTCTCCTCCATATTAATCATATCCTTTGTAGCCCTGAGTGATCTTTGATCATCTAATTTTTTAAGCAATCTGGCAGTGTCAAGAATCAACGAAAGGTTGATTGCTCTAGAAAAAGCATTCATTGACCAAAATACCATCATCCCTGAGAAACCTCTCCAGAGGTAAGACTATGCTTGGACCTTATATTGTACTTACAGTCCTATATAACCTTACGCAATTCGCTTAACGTATCCTTTTTCCTTTCAGACACGTGATACTGACGCCTAGTATCAACGTGTATTCAAGTTGGTACGGGGGTATTGCAGAAGCTATGTACCGCGCGGATCAGAAAACTTCTACTTGGGAAAGCGTAAAGGAGCAGATTTCTGTAGTAGTGTACGCTATTCGATCCGCCACTCATATCTTGAATATGTCACCCATATAGAACAGTTTTTGAACCACGTACTGGGAACTAAAAGTCTGCAGCTGTAACTTTCATGTACACTTTCCCATTTACTTATAATTACAGCTGCAAAGCTTCAGGCACTATTTAGGGGATTATATTCAGCTGCCTTCATGTCGGGTCTGTTTGTCTTTTTTTCTAGTTAATCTGGCATGTTGTGTCCAATTTCATAAGATCCCCATTGCATGATTACCAAAAAACTGATATTGACTTACTTAAAAATAAAACCAGAAGAAGGCAAGTAATGGCTTGCCAAAATATCGTTTTACTAAACACATTTTAATCTACGGTGCACTAGATTTCCAATTTTTTTTAAATTGCTTAATTTCTTATATCCAGTCAGATCTCATAGTGATCCATCGTATCAGCATTTTTGTCGTTGGTGGCGTTTACAATTATTTTTCATTGACTGACTGACCGGGGGGGGG